GTATAGTCTTGGACTAGTAGATACCTAAATACAGTAACTCTGTCTTCACTAGGTAATTATTTTTTATTCTAATAAATGTATTTCCAATTTACTTGTTATAGCACAGGTTGTGTAAACAGTTGGGTTCCTCAAAATACTACTGGAAGTCCTGTGTTAAGCATAGTAGTCTACAAACTCAGCTGCAATGGTAGAGAGATTTTTTGCTTATTCATTTTGGTCTTCTCTGCTTTTAATTCTTCCTGGTACTTGTGGATTTTTTGGCCTGTTTTATCAAAAGGGCTATGATAAAAACACCCTATGCACAACCTGAAACAAAACTGCCTGATGGGCAGTAGATAGACTTCTTTTCAGAGCAGCTTATTACATCAAATAGATGTGAAGAACATATTGTGATATCATCCAGTCCTTCCCATTATGTATGATAGCGTGTAATTACAAAGGTTGCTATTTCCAAGGGGACCCAAATTGTCCATGAGCACAAATCCCACAGAAAGTCAGCAGACCCTATGGCACTTAGTTTGATTAGGGCTTTTGATAGATAAGCTTTGCTGACTACTACAGAGGTAGTTTAAGATGATACGGCTCCAGTTGCCCATCCCAAATCTGCTGGAGATTAGTGCTCCCTCATATGTGGTTTGGCAGACCAACATGTTTGCTTATACCTCAGTTGTTTCAGTTCAGCATGGACATTTTATGTATCAGTTTTCCTGAGTAGCAAGGAAAAAGTCCTAAAAATTTAACTGTGTGCCCCCCTTCGGCCTAAGCTGACAATCCCCATCTCCACAATTATTCATGTTACTAGAAGTTGTAGGTTAGCAGCTTTAAAAAGATTGTTTATGTGTTTAAAATGGATCAAAGACCAGGTGTCATCATTGAAAGCGTTGGCTTTAGTACTTGCCGTAGGCAAAGAATGAATCGATGCCGTAACTATGGCTAGCACTTGAGTTTCTGCCTTCTCTGCCATGGTTCAGCTCACTACATGACCTGTTGGTCTTACATGAAAGGAGCATGCTCAAATAATAGCCGCATATGATTTTCAAAAACACTGTTTACACACCTTACATAACTAGAGTGACTTATAATAATATTAAATTACTTTTATTTCTATAATTTTGTATATATGAAAATATTTCACTCGGGAAAATATTATTCATCTATCAGGGGTCCAAATTTTTAGCATTATTAGAAGCTACAGTTTCTTTAAATGAGTAAAACAAACATACATAACCTTTTAAAAAAATAACATTTCTAAAAATACTGAGTATAGTTATTATACTCATATACTTCGTAAGTCTTTTGTTTTTTTATTAGTTTTGTTTCATATCCATTGCATACTTATGGCCTTTCACTTACCAGTTTACTAGGCTGCCCCATTCATACTCTGCTAGAATTTCAGCAAGGTGGAGTTTTGTTTTACTTGTAAATTTTTTTGACTGTGATGCTCTGTGTTTAGAGAAGTTATTGCCCAGGCTGTTCGTCCAGAATCTTTCAAAGTAGATTTTGAGGTTCAGTTCTTTCCTATTCATTTTTTAAATACACTTAGTTGACAGATACTGAACTAAGTGTTTGCCTTACTTTTACTTTCTTTGCTGTTTCTTTCATCTGAAAAGGAAAGTACCATAGCTTCCTCACAACTGTATCTCAATCTGCTTTGGAAGTGAACCATCACGTTGCAAATATTCTCAGTCCTATCTATAGAATTTATAAACCTTTCTTGTTAAGAAACAATGCTCTGATAAAATCTGTAGCATAGCCTAGGCCTCCCAAGGTTCTTCTATTTCAAATGGGATATTAAAGGACTGGAGAAGATTCAGGGAAGACTAACAAGCATGATCAAAGGTGTGGAAAAGCTTTGTGAAAGGAATCAGTAGGTAAGCTAGCATTGTCTAGGTGAGAAGAGTGAGGACTGGTGTATGATCACTGTTGGAGAGCTATAATATGGAAATGGTAATTAACAATAAATTGTTCACATCTCTTCCAATACAAGAACCTAGGGGGTTATTGAATGAGGTAAATGAATGACAGGTTCAGAGCAGAGATGGTTCACACAACATGTGTTATCTGTGGAACTACTTGCCATAGGGTGTTACAGATGATACAAACTTTTTATGGTTCAAAAATCAATTGAATAAAGAACTGAAGTAAAAATCCATTGAAGTAAAGAAAAGGTACAACCTGAATGTAAGAAAGGCCAAAAATCTCGGGCTGAGGCAGTCTAGAAGTGACAGTGAGTATCACTCTGTTCTCATGTCTTTCCCTAAGCACCCGTCACTGCAGACAGGACCCAGGGCTAGAGGGCCCTTTGCTCTTATGGACCAGAGATGTCGTTATGCTCCTGAGGAAGCATATTGAATTATAAATATGATGAGGGCTGGTCATGTTTTATATAGGTAGTCTGTTACAGAAACACTCTTTTCTATTTCTATCCAACCTGCTGCATAGGTTAAGCTATTTCCACTTTCCATTTGTTGTATTCAGGCCTACATGGTGATCTAGCTGTGTTCATATGTTGACAGGTATATCAAAATGCCTTGGTAAGGATAAAATAAGAGACAACAGTGTTCAGAGAATGACTAATACCAGATGTGTCAATCTACTTTTGGAAAAAAGAGGACAAAATTAGGTGATCTTGTCCATGCGAGACAGAAAAAATTAAGTGACAATAGGGTGATGGTTGTCTGCCAGCTAAAAGAATTGATGGCCTGCATCACATATAGACTTATTAATGTTATCCATGCCACTGATACATAAAATGAGCTGTGCCGCTAACAGGTACAAACTCAAGATAGCTCTAGTTCAGGACTTCCCAGCTGCATTGTTGATCTGCCCTGTAACCTAGCCTGGCCTGAAGATCCAGGATAAGGACAGGAAGGGAAACTTCTGGCCAAGTCCATGAACTTGGTGATTTGGTTTATAGAAGCGATCCAGTTAGTACTCAGAAATATTCAGTCTTGGCATCTACATCAAGATAGGACACTTGAAAACCTAAATAACAATATTTAGGTAAATAACAATAGTATTTGTTAGTTATTATTTCCTGTGATTAAATCCCATTGAAATTACAAACCTAGGCACAGCATTTATACAACAATATTCTGTAATTAAAAACATCTGAAATATTGGAACTTTGGCATTTTTAAAAGTGATAGTGGATAACTAATTCCTTCATTCATCAGCTCTGTAAAGTCACTGCAAGCCAACAGCTTGTGTAGAAGTATAGAAATTAACTTACTAGTTCCAGCAAATCAAATCAATCTGGGTTTGGCATTTTTTTTGTTTGTGTGTTTGCTTGTTTTAAAGGAATGACCTAGGCAAAGCTAATGAGACTTGCTGTTGTGGATCTGACAGTAGTGCTGACATTGAATCTAATATGCTCAATATGGCAGCAACAGTAGCTCCTGCTATCCCATCTGGTAACAATCAGATGTTAGTCATTTTTTAAATGAAAGTAACAGATAGTTGCTATAACTGAGCAGAATCCATTTAGGCTCTTTTTACTGAAGAGGTGATTAAGAAAAAGCAGAGAATTCTTGTCACTCTTGAGCCTCTGACACATAAAACAAAAGATGGATAGGTGGATATATTTTTATCTCCAGCTATTCCCTCATCCCCAACAAAAGAAAGAATACCTCTGCACATCTTGTATGCGTTTCCCATTTTTTTTCTTAATAAGAGTGCTTTCTTTTACGTAATACTTATATGGATAAAGGGTGTCAACAATGCTTAATATTAAGTACGTACCATTATCTATATTTATTGCCTTAGTAAAGGGGCAGTATGATCCAAGCAAAAGTAATGCTTTACTGTCAAGTCTCAGAGCATGTAGTCAGGAAAACTGGCACTGACACCGTAATTACAGTTTGTCCCTCCCACCCCCCCAAAAAAAAGGAGATTTGCTGCTGGTGGACATAAGTACTTTTGATAGACTTACTTGCATGACTAGTTAAAGCACTTGCACAGAAATTCCCCTTGTAGCAGGTATACTTTTGATTTGTTTGACTGCACATTTCTTGAATATTATGTCTTTTTCTTTGACATATCTAAGATAATTTTAGACAGTATCTGACTGGCAACTTTCACTTTCCAGGAGGTGATTGATATTACTAACGTAACATTAGAGTTTGCTCAAGCTTTTTGTAGAATATCCAGAGACTGTGGACTATCATAGGCTGAATTGGCTGAATTGTCTCAAGAGCTTGACTTTGCTGTCGGATGCTGGATTACCATCATTACTTTTTTAGCTGGATTTCTTGTATTCCATATCAGTTTCTGAATGAAGTGAGCTATTTTCAAACAAATTTGATAGAAAGGGAGAAGACAGAGCTTGATGCTCATCAAACTATGTGCGAGTTAGCCCCACATAAAACACCAAAGAAAGTCTAGGGGAGACTTATTAATAAAGACCCAGCCTCAGCAACAATTTCAGGTAGTGTGAGCACTTTTTTCAGGAATCTTTGTCAACTTGAAGTATGGATATAACATGGATTGTAAAATATTTTTCCTGCAAATAAATTTTGGAGGGGATCTTGACTCCAAATTAGGCAAACCACTCCATTGCTGAAACATAAAAACTATGGGCATTACTACACTAAGATCTGATTCAGTGTCCATGATTATCTTTAGGAGTTTGCCAATAACTTCAGCAAAGACATGATCAGAATAGGAGTGTCAGTATTAGTTATGCAAGACTTGGCCGTCCTAAAGAAGTGTATGAACTTTGAGTGTTCCCACCTGTTCTGCAGAGCCATTGATAATACCTCAACATGTTATAAACCTCTCACCGTTTACAGTACAACTTGGGTTTGCCACACAACTGTAGGATAATCTGAGGAAATCTGCTTGTGTAGTAATGGTCTTTAAAAATTAAAGCTGTATTTAATTCTTTGAGTTTTAGTGTTCCTTGAGAGCAGTAGAACATGTGGGAAGTGGGTTATTACAGGTATCTATGTAGGAACATCAAAAAATTCTAATCAGTACAGTATGATAACATCACTTATATTGATTTTTGTGACTTGGTCTCATTTCAGATGAAGTGGCTATCTGTCCTGCCCCAACAGTGTATTTTGCTGATGACATGTCTCCTAATGGCCTTGGAAGCTGTACCTATAGACATAGATAAGACAAAAGTCAAAGGAGAAGGCCACGTAGAAGGAGAGAAGGTAGAAAATCCAGTAAGTGTAATGAAATTTATCTAATTAAGTATTTTTTCCTGATTGCTAGTAATCTGGCTATAGCAAACTCCCTTCCTGAAATTTAGATGTTCTTTACTGGAGTTACTTGCAGGAAGGAAACTAATATTAGCCAGTATTGTCATACAGTCTACCATCTACTATGGTGAGGTTCCGTTTAAATTTGTTCTCTTTTGTTTTTTTTCGTGAGCTGCTAAAGGCGAGGTGGCACATGGAAGGAATTCCCCAGCTTACAATAGGAAGAACTGCTTACTGTTCCAGAGAGACTTCTTTCAAGCGATTGAGTGGTGGCTTAGGAAATTCCACTCAGTGATTCCAGTTCAGTGTTTCAAATAGAACAGTAATGAATGAATTGCACTGTTTTAAAAAAACCCCAAACTATATTAACATGACAGATGCTTGTGTATGACATGGATTCCTAAACACTTTTCTCCTCTTCCTTGTCAGTTGCTGAAACAAATGAATCATAAGTTGTTATAGGGCAATGATGCAAATCAGAAAAAACGAAGATATGTAAGACAGTATAATGCTTGTGTTGCTGAGATTTGAGTTTCAGTTTAATCATTGTATTTAAACAAAGTGAAATGTTTGGTAGTACATTCTTTTCTCAATTTCTTTTTTTTTTTTTTTGAAGGATACAGGACTTTATTATGATGAATATCTCAGGCAAGTAATAGATGTCTTGGAAACAGATAAGCATTTCAGGGAGAAACTCCAGACTGCTGACATAGAGGAAATAAAGGTAGGTACAAAAAAAAGAGTTAAATTAAGCTTAATTAAATCCATAATCATGAGACACGTATGTTGTATTCTTTCTTCCTTTTCTTTCTTCATGCTTCTCTCAATTTTTGTGAGCTTAAATTTCCTCTCATTTTTATTTGCTTAGGTATTTAACTCTTACTAGATCTTTGTCTTTAGTCAAGGGACAGCAGAACTTCTGTTCATTAAAGACTATCCCATAGCATACCCCCCCCCCCCCCAAACACTCCCCAACAACATATGCTTGAATTCATAGTCTCTGCCTTCTGCCTATCTACTAAAAAGCTGATTTCAGACTCCATACAGGTAGGTAAACCTTAATGTACGTCAAAACAGCTGCAAGCGTAGCTCTCGCTCGCTGTTGCCTGCTGAGTCATTTGGAACACTGTTTTGAACATAGAGGTATATCTGCCTTCTGAGATTAAGATAGTGTGTCACAAATGAATATGATGACATGGAAGAGAATTACAAGCAAGTCAGATTTTAAAGTCTGGGGAAATTGAGGAGTTACGCTGGAGGTAAAGGCAGTGTATATAGGAATAAAATAGACCTCTAGCTTTCTCCACTGCTGTCCTTTCTTTTATGCCAATCCACATAGCACTCTCTCCAAAACCTCACCACATTCTTGTCTTTTCTACTTTAGTTCCTGGCTCTAGGTGGTGACTGTTCTCCATTCCCCTTTATGAGCTAGAAATTCAGCAAGGGACAGGTAGGAAACAGTCTAAAGTGATAGACTTAAAGAGAAGATCCTGCCTTTTGCATTTCCTTTAATCCCTCATGTTGCCGTTGGCAGCTTTTGGCTCCTTTTTCCTCTGTGCTACATCCAGTGCAACCCTTGAAGGTTGCTATCCGTTTCCAGATCCTGATAAATATTCTTGCAATACAGCATTGGTGGCTGTTGCTGTGCTTGTACCTACTCTCAAGTCTTACAGCCGTCATCAAGTGGATGAAGAACACAGCTCTTTGTGTGCATCTCACAGTTCTTTTGAACTAATTTGAGAACATTTGATCAAGAAATTTGTCACTTCTTAAACATTACTAGGTATTGCTGCTTCAAGGTCATGCTTTTGCTCTTTGGAGGAGCAAGATACTTAGAAATTCTCTTTTCAGAAAGCTTTTAGGATTCCTCTCTGTTTCTATAACCATAGGCTTAAAAAATTTGAATCTGCTTTTTGAAAAAATTCTGAGATTCTTATAATGTGGGCTACAGTATTGCCAAAGAATGCCACTAGTCTGCTGTCTTGCAGCTCATGTCTAATGGGAATCCTAAAGGCTACTTCATTCTAGTTTTTATACGTAACTTTTATTTTTTGACAGAGTGGAAAACTAAGCAGAGAGCTTGATTTAGTAAGCCACCATGTGAGAACACGGCTGGATGAACTAAAAAGACAAGAGGTGGCAAGATTAAGAATGTTAATTAAAGCTAAAATGGATTCTGTTCAAGGTAAGAATACAAAATTTAACTAGGTGAGTTAACAGATCGGATTGTGTTGGAGAGGTGCCCAAAATCCATCAGTTATGCTTTGTTTGAAAGTGAGTGTCCTTTCTGAGCTGGCCTAGGGCCAGTAAAGACCCATCTTTATAGGAAACAAGGGAGAAGAGAAAAGCCATCTGTATTTTATAAATAACTAAACTTGATTCTGGCAGTGGATTTTTCAGATAGTTCTAATCTTTTTCAACCTCTTTTTTTATTTTTGTAGTGCATTGATTTATAGATTACCCACTGAGAACTAGTAACATAGTAGGACTATGTTTAAGAATACAACATGACATAGCATTTCATGTCTTTACAGGGTAGAAATTTTTTTTTTTTTTTACAGTTAGTTAACACAAAAGTTTTCCTTTTTCTCTTTCTAAGCCCCCTTTCCACCAATAAGAGTTACTGTACAGATTTATAACAAACATTAAACATTTCAGTTCAGAAGATTATTTTTCTTATTTTTGGGGCAGTTTTAAGCCCCTGAATAAAGAAAAACATTTGGAGTGAAAAAAATTCTTCATAGCATTTTCTTAATTGCTAATGAAATCGTACAAACTCAGGCAATTTCTTTTAATGAATATATATATACGGGTTTCTAATGATTCTGATTGCTGTATGTTTGTGTGGGAAGTGGTGCTATCCCTTTTTATTTCTTATTACCGAAGAATTTTTGAAGTTTGTATTTAGAAAAATTCTGTAAATTTCTTATTAGTGGTTTCTTTTTGAAGATAATTAGTTGCTCATAAACAAAGATCAAGATGGACTGCATGATCTTGTTTCTGAAATGCTGTTTTTCACAAAGAAGCGATAATAAAAAGGGCTTAATTTACCTATGAAGATTATTTTATTATTAAAAACACTTGCAGGTTATGGGGAGGGATCCCACTGAACTGAACAGGTAATGTATCAATTTAAAATACTCCAAGAATAAGGATCTGTCTTCTAGACTAAGATGAATTTAGAGGTGGCAAGTAGACTGAAGAAGTACTTGTGTGCAAATATGTGTTCATGGGGACGTTACTAGGGTCAGGAAAGCATCAGATTAATTTGGGAAAAAAGATATTTACAGTGCAGTACCTTTCTAATTAAGTCTTTAGGTGCTACCGTAGTATAATTAATGAATAATAATATAGAGTTGGCTGAGGGCATCGGATCACCTTTCTGTCCTATGTTTTCTTTTAATGAAAGTTCTAGTCCAGAGAGTACAGTCCACTGGTAGCTGGACAGTGCAGACCAGTGGTAGCCCCTCCACAGGAGTCAGTGCATTGCCTCACATATCTGCCAGACCCCGTGTTCACCTTCCTCAGGTGGTTCTTCAGCTGCCAAGAACCCAGTCTCATGCTCCTATTGCAGACAAGCAGTCCAGTGACATGATGGTGACACTCACAGTGAGCTAGTTGACAGCAGCTAATGATACCTGATTGTGTACATAGTAATTTTGTGGGTTTTGAAATTTTTTTAATAGTTTAATTGACTGATTACTTCTAGCCCTCTCTACTTCCATAAATCAAGATTAACTAACAGAGCGTGCTTTAGAAAAATAATTCCCCCCAACAGATCAGATCTGTTACAGTGTAAGTGTGAGATCTTACTTTTGGGAAAGAACAAGAACAGATTATTCCAGTTCAAAATATTCAGATGACTACTAACATGTGAAAACATTGGGAGTGTTATAAAGTTATAAAGTTTACAATCAGCCTTACCAGCGAGTACTTCACACCATATACAAGTAGTATGGCCAGATTACCTGTAAAATACAGCTGCATCTGTACACCTATGCAATGTCTTGGAACATGTACAAAAGAGCATTCTGTAGTAACAGCAGGCAGAGCTATTTGGTTTCCTTTTATTTGTTCTGTTAATCTTTTCCCTGTAACACCATTTAATATCTTAGTCTTAAGATCTTAATCTTAAAAATTTATTTAAAAAAAAAAAAAAGCACACAACCCCCCCTGTTTTCTTCCCTCTCAGATGGATCAGGTTTAAAAAAAAACAAACAGACTTGAGATTATATTCTGCATATATTCAGTCCTGATCCAGATGTGTTTTTAAATATTTGCACCAAGATCCTACTAGACTGGTCAGTACAGGACAGAAGAATGTTAGGGGTTGGGTCTCAGATAATACAGTAATGTGGCAAGTAAATACTGTCAAATAGAATGAGTCTTTTCCCATAAATATAAGGAATGGAGAAAAATGGGTTTGGGGGCAGTGGGTTTTTTTGGGGTTTTTTTTGTTTGTTTGTTTGGTTTTTATTTGTTTTTTTAGAAAGCCTATTATTACACTTCTAAAAAATGTTTCAAAAACAGGCTAAAGCGCATATATTTCAACAGAAATTATGATCTCACCAGGGAGGAATGATGGCTGAAATCTGCCACAGCCAGCGTTTGCTGTTTTGTGATAATACAAACACAACATTGAGTGTAAGACAGAGAGTTTACCAAAGGATAACATGTTCAAAATTGTGTTTTCCAATTTTTTCAAAACAAATAAAATATTCTTTGCTAAGCCATCTAGTAAAAGCTTGTCAAAATTGTTATACATAACATATCAAAGTGTATGCTGCTTAAGATAGCATTATTATCTAGCATTAGCAGTCAGAAACCATGGTAACAGCTAGAAAAGCCTGTTGTAGAAATGTGTTTTGTTGTTAGTGCATTGTGTATTGATATTGTTGGGTATAGTTCCTGTCATAAGGAAGAGAGAAATGTTTGCAGCTTTTAGACACAGAACCTGACTCTCCACTGTCTTGCACTTCTCATTTTGCACAAATGAAATTTGAATATCTGCTTATCTGATTTGATATAATTTTACACCATATTGTACATACATCTTTGGCCAGATACAAGTAATTTGCAAAATGTACAGGGCAATAGAAGAGTCAGACTTCTTCCAGTTCAGGAAAAAGATGCAAGTTGTTAGCTCTGATACTGCACATAACTTCAACTATCTATCTCAATTATGTAAAAGGGAATAAAAGGTTTTTCTTGGTTTGCAAAGCTCAATTTGATTGTATGTTTCCTTGCTGAAACACGAGCCTTAATTTGTGCATGTTAAATTATTGTGTGCAGTGCAACACTGACACACCAGAAGGAATACAGTGCAAATTGCTATCAAGTTTGCCAATCTCCTTCAGGAAAAGCAACTTTAGAAGTGCTGCTATCGTGTCCTCCGACAGTGGAAAAAATTATCCAGTCCTCAGGGAGCCTCAGGTACTTACAAGGGCACAAGCTCCCGTTTGGAAGTTTTTAAGTTTTTCCTGATCTCACTTGATTTCAAACTTATTTTAATGTTTTACATTTGTACCTTGTTTTTTCAGACACTGGCATAGACCATCAGGCTCTCCTTAAACAGTTTGAGCACCTGAACCATCAGAATCCTGACACATTCGAACCTAAAGACTTAGATATGTTGATCAAAGCAGTGAGTGCTAGATATAAACTACTATGGGTGTTTTTGGTATTAATTATTATGCTTTTTCTCTGGTAAAGGCAAATCCTTTTATATATACCACTTTTTTATAAATGACATGCAGTTTCATTTTCAGAGAAAAGTCAGTTGTCTCCATGGCACACTTGAAAACTGTTGTCAGAGTGCATTATGCTGAAGAGCCCATAAATTTTGGCGTGGCGTCTTAACAGGACTTGCATTCATGTGCCAGTACAAACAACTTTGGAAATAAAATATGCCTTTCTGAGAGCATTTAAATTAAATGCAGTTTTGATAGGGGTACATTTTTCCCAAATGTATTTTCTGATTTCTAATTCTAAATGATTTAAGCGTCTCACAGAATGACATAAAAAATCATCCCTAAACTAGCCATTTGGATTTTGGGGTCTATTATATTTATGTCAAGCTGCAAAACCACAGCAGAGTAGAATTTAAGATACCAATATTAGAAATTACATATGCTGGGCATGGCATTCTATGTCTATTTAGCAGATTCGGTACCAATCACAGGTGTGGGGTTTTTTTTTTCAGTGCATGTTTATTAAGGGGATGCAGTTAAGGTAAGCATGGCATGGCTTTTTTCAACTGCTGGAAAAAATACGCTTCCCAAGGGGAAAAAAGACTTTAATCCCAGGTATGCTTTAGAGAGCACTGCATGTCTGACATGAGAATTTGACAGTTTTTATATTTTCAAAATAAATGGAAAGATAAGGTATATTTTAAGCTTCCTGTAATTTTTGTGTAAGGGGATGCAGTTAAGGTAAGCATGGCATGGCTTTTTTCAACTGCTGGAAAAAATACGCTTCCCAAGGGGAAAAAAGACTTTAATCCCAGGTATGCTTTAGAGAGCACTGCATGTCTGACATGAGAATTTGACAGTTTTTATATTTTCAAAATAAATGGAAAGATAAGGTATATTTTAAGCTTCCTGTAATTTTTGTGGATTTTTTTTACACTTGGAAAATTGTATCTCAATTTTCTGTAAAATTATTTATTGTACAGATATTATAAAGTTTCTTGCCATTTCTGAGCATCACTTCTGGGAAAATTCTGGTTGGCTAGGAGAAGCATAGAAAGAACAGCGGGGCAGTTCTTTCTCTTATATTATTTTTCTTGTCTTCTCATTTCTCAGCTGAGATATTGACAGAGTGTAACGGGCATTTTAGGGGGTCTGTGCTTTGGAATTGTTTTTGAAAAGGTACAGTGAATCTGAAAATTAAAATGTAAATAATGGAGAGACTATATCAGGTATGAACATGTTACTTTGAAAAGCACTACCAAAACATCTTTTAATACCTTGAGCTGTCTGAAAATGATACATCTCCAAACTCTATACAAGTACTTGTCAGACATTCTCCCCTCACACCCTTTCTCTCCATATAATCGTTTTTTTTTATTTAATCTGTATTAAGCTACTGCAAACTAACTCCCGTTATTAATGAAGGCACTTTTTTCATTAAACTGCAGGATAAGCTACAAACGTTCTTATTCTGAAATAAACAAGGAGTTAATGGCACTATTTGAAGCTGTGTTTAATTAGTATGGGACATGCTTAACTTGAGTTAATTTATTATTAATTGATGAGAAAGGACAGCTTGATGCCTTCTTACAGTACTGTGTAGTTGCAAAAATTGTCCAGCAGTTGAACACTTGCAAATTAATTTCTGTGAAAATAATGAAGTGAGGAGGGATGTTTTTGCATCACTGTCACATGAAAGGAAACCCCCAACTAGTCTACCTCATGTTTAAAAAGAGAATGGCAATATGGCCAGCCTTGCCCACAGATCTGAACAATACAGTGTTTTTCATGTTGTACATGTTAACATAATCGTGTGGCATAATCATGTGTCTACATATATCTATATTTTTAGGCTACAAGTGACCTAGAAAACTATGATAAGACCCGCCATGAGGAGTTTAAGAAATATGAGATGATGAAAGAACATGAGAGGAGAGAGTATTTAAAAACACTGGATGAAGAAAAGAGGCAGCGAGAAGAATCCAAATTTGAAGAGATGAAGAAAAAACATGGAGATCACCCTAAAGTTCACCATCCTGTAAGGCCACAGTCTGTTCTTACATGATTGGGTGGAAGCTTTCCTTTCCAGAGAGAAAAAGCTAATGAAGAGCAGGGTATATCTTGTTTGTTCTCAGCATTTGCCTCTTCTCATTGACATGGGAGCAGAGTGTAGGAACAGTGTTGAGAGCATTACAAAACCCACTATATATACCCCCATTTTTTCTGTACAAGTATGCTATTTGCTGGCAGAATTATTATTTATAAAGAAGCTAAAACTCATGAGGAAGAAGCCAGAATGGTATTCAAAACTGTAGGGATGCCTTCATGGTATGCCTGGCCTACAAGGAACTGCATCACAGCAGTTTTGCTCTAGAAAAGGCAAACTAATTTAACTCCCTTCAGCTAGTGTTTCTAGATGAGTCTGTGGCCATGACTGATTATTACAGGTGTTCCTTCCCACAGAGTATGCATTTCCTTGACACTCGCTCTTTCCCTGGGCCTTTCTGTCTAATGAAAGTATTAGACCTGACCAAAAGAGAATTAAAGAAAATTCCATTGATTCCATTTGCAACATGACTAATCAGAAAATAAAGCCTTTCAGAGAAACTGTAATGCAAAGGTAATGCAGAAAAATTACGCTTCATCATTTTTGAATAGTTTTTCTTTGTAACCAATCTATAGGGAAGCAAAGATCAACTGAAAGAGGTGTGGGAAGAAGCAGATGGACTAGATCCTAATGAATTTGACCCCAAAACATTTTTCAAATTACACGGTAAGAGGTTTAGTTTAATTTAATGAACAAGTGAAGTGACTTTCTGTTACCTTCTGCTGAGGGCAAGTTTGTCTTATACCTCAAGCAATTTGGATGAATCTGAAGAGTATAGAGGAGAAAATATTTATGTTATTGTTTGTAAGTTTACTGTGGGGTTTAAAAGTTGAAAACAGAGTTTTGTTTAACTACTCATAAAATGATACAGCCAATAACCAGTAGTGATTGCTCAGGGAAGTATGGGTACTTAGAGGGCTGTCCATAACTATAACTTTGCTTACACACTACATACTAGGAATAAATCCTCAGAGGTGTGTGTGGGAAAACCTGCTTTCTCATCATCTCTGCAGATAAGTGCCAGACTCCCCTTATCTTTGCAGTGATCATAGAAGTGCCAAGCCTCTTCAGAAGTTGCAAGATTCCCTTAATAAAAGAAAAACCAAAATGACCCCCAATCCTGCCTCTATATTTCTGAGCAGTGTGCAGCTAGAAACAATGAAATAGTAGCAGAGATGAGAATGCATCTCAATGGGCATTTTGCTTTAAATGTGATTATATAAGTGTGTAACCTTATATCCTGACATTGTTAAATGTTTCATAATAAAGTACCCTTAAGCAGATCCTGCCTGGCACTGGGCTGTGAAGGGTTGAACAGTACACAGAATTTGACTAATCCCAAAGATGATAATTTAACTGAAGAAAAGTGTTCTAGCTTGAGTCTGAACTTTTATCTTGGTTTATAAAATATATAAATACGTATTATAGTTATTAAACCTTATTTCTTCTTTCTAGAAAGAGATCTGGCAAGATGATTTTCTGAAAATTTTTGGTAGCTTTTTTGTGCAAATCTTATCAAAACAGAAATAGCTGAAACAATCTTTTGCCTTAGAGCTTAGTATATAAAAAACTTCGAAGCAATTAAACAAAAATATTGCATAATAACAGTCATTCAAAGTAGACATTCTCTTTCAATTTCAGAGATAGTATAACAATATTCAGAGTAGAATGTAGGATAAAAGATGGATCATTAGTTATCAAGTATTCTCCTCTTTGCATTTGTCATGAAAAGTCATTTTACAGTGATCTCTTCTGAAGCGCTGCATATTTATATAGATTTTCAGATAATTCTTTAGGTTTTTTGGAGAGTCACACTGTTGGTTAACAAAGTTCCTCTACAGATTTTTGTTGCTCCTGAATCTATTTACAAATTTAGTTGTTAAATTGAGACACTTGTTTCCAGCAATATTTTTTGGCAATTGCACTTTGTGCAATCCTGTTGTGACCTATTCCAGTTTGCTAATCTACAAAGTAGGGAGATTGCTCCAGACTTGTCCAACCAACCAAGAATGGTAATACAATTCAGCCAATGCCTGATTAAAAACCTAAACAGAATGTAACCAGCATCTTGTTAAATGAGGTTTTTAATCCATGTGAGATGTGTTTGCTGATACTTACTTAACTCATGGAGAACTACTACATGTTTTACTTTCTGTAGATATTCAGCTTGTATTTTCAACACTTCTTTTTGTAGATGTCAATAATGATGGTTTCCTGGATGAGCAAGAATTAGAAGCCCTATTTACTAAAGAGGTAAAAAAACCATAATTTAAAAAACGTAACTTGTTTCAGTAAATGGTTACAGGGATGTCTGTATTTTTTTCCAAGTATATTTGGGGGCTTTGGGACTACAAAGTAGAGTATTCGTGCCAAGTTTTGTGCATCCTTAATGTTTCTACAAAAGTGTAAAAACATATCAGCAGGGAAAATAAAGTAGTTGAAGCATAGGACTCAGACACCAGAGATCTAGTGCTCATGTATTTCTCTGCCACAGGCTTCTTTGAGATTTTATAATTAATCTGCAGGATAGCTATAGCTGTATAAATTGCAATGCAGAGAGCTGCACTCCTGCTCTGGCTAGATGCAGCCTGGTAGAGGTTCTGAGGCTGGGTATCTGTGCTCATTCAGTGCTAATCTAAAGTCATAAGACTTGTTGAGAGGAAAAGGGTCACGCTCGTGCGAATTGGCTCAAAGACAGCACATTGTGGAAGCAGCTACAGAAATTTCACATATTTTGTATCTAGCTAGTTTGGAGCAAATGTACATCTGATAAAGTAGACAGGCTCTTAGTTTCTTTAAGCCTTGGTTTGTTGTCTGTGAAAACGCAAATATTAGTACTTCTTTGCCTCCCAGAAGGGTAATGATAGCAATGTACTGAAATTCTACAGTGATGGGAATTGCAGAATCAATGAGTAAACAAAGGGCCTTGGTCTTCATTTTTCCAGTAGGTTCTGTTTTGGTATAGCAGGAAAAAACCCTAAACTTCCCATTCAAAGATCCAGTACTATGGCTGTCAATATCTAGTCTTACAATTTTTTCTAGATTTCTTGAGTCAGAGAGGAAATGTGGTATACAGTGTATATAGAAGCTTATAAATTCAAACTACTGTAAATTTTTGAAGAAATTAAATTTGCAAATACAGATTTCTAACAATACTTTGCCATAATCCCCTCTAATACAATAAAGATATATGGCAGTCTTTTTTGACAGATATGTCCCACCATTTTGCAGTTTTGTAGTTTAAAAACAAGTAGTCTGGGGCCTTAAAATTACCTATGGCTAAGCGAGCGAAGCTAAATGACTAAGAAAGCTAAGTAGAAGCAAACAAGCATAAACTCACCAGAAAGACATTGTGCAAGAAGAGAAGTGGACCATTAAATTAAGCACTCAATTTGTCTTGTGATACCCTGAATGCTTACAGGGTCAGCTGCATGCTCTGATAAAAAAGCTACTCTCTCCTGTTCCAGAAACCACGTGGAAACTCTGCCTGCTTTGAATCAAATGTAGGATCAGACTGTGCATGCTGAGGTCAATTTTACTGTAATGTCCACAGCACTGAATTACAACAGACCACATGAATTAACTGAAAACTTTGGTCTTAGCAATGAAAGGCTCACTTGTTGCTTAAATACTATGCTAAAAGAGAATTACACACACACACTCTCATTCTGTTGGAAAAATGGTGAACTCACGTGTTTAGCAACATCTCACGCTACTGTTCCAAATATGCTCTGTCATTTGAATGAGCAGCCCTTTCTCCAAACTAACATTTGCTAATTTTGAATTTCAGCTAGAAAAAGTTTACGATCCCAAAAATGAAGAGGATGACATGGTTGAAATGGAAGAAGAAAGGCTGAGAATGAGAGAACATGTAATGAATGAGGTGGGGACTGATGTTCAGTAGAGCTGCTGATTTCCTTCTATGTTCAAGAATTACCGTCCTCCTAATGTGAAGGGTTGTCCAAGTACAGCAGAAAGGGATGACCTGTCACACTGAATGCTGTTTGTGCTGGGATTCACATAAAGCTACAATTCTCAAGTCCTGTGCCCATATTCTGATGTAAATGCCTGTTGACTATTTTTTAAGAAGTTCCAGAGAAGGAATTGTGCTGTAGCCTCCATCTTTTGCAGATATTGAGATTCAATAGAAATTCCCTATGAATTTTGTGTCGAACAGGGAAGACTCTAAATGTGCTTTTGCACTTGGCAAATGGGTAAGAATTAGGTGTGAGAAGAGGGAGTAGAGCAATGTCTTCTTTCAGGTAGTTCACCTTTGTCCCTTCAGAAGAGGGCTCAGAGCTCAAGGTATCACCTATGGCAGTGAATTCCTTTACTAGTTCTGATAGGTTTTCAGCTCAGGAGACAGAGGAAAGGGAAGAGGATGTTTTGAACCACAGTGTTTTTCACTCCTATCTTTTCTGTATTCAACTATATTCCTTAAGCTTGAGGAACGGAGCAAGCCTGGTCTTCTGTTATTCATAAAGGGAAGCATTTCCTCCCTTCCCCTTAAAGGATTCTGACACAATTCAGTTGGGGTTTTTCTGATGTTTTAAAACCTCCCTATCCAACAGTGGAGATTACTCTGACTCACAGTTACAAAATTATTACCAGAAAGCTACAAAACATTTTTCTCAGAAAAATCATGCATGCCACTATTAGCGTTGGGGCTGTGACCACATATAATGTTTCCAGTAAAGCCAATGGATTTTGAAGTAAAATGTGAGGATTTACTTTTTATTTCCATTTTTGTTAAGCTATATGAGCTTGTGAAAGAAGTTTTCAGAAGATGTTGGAGGCACTCCCTTGAAAATGGGACAGTTTAGAAATAAAATGGTTATATTTGAAGGTATTTGCATAATGAAATTAAACATTAACTCCACCAAAACCCGTCCTTTAGGTTGAGTTTAATTTTTTTATTCAAATAGGTTGACATCAACAAGGACCGGCTAGTGACTTTGGAAGAGTTCCTGCGAGCTACAGAGAAAAAAGAATTTTTGGAGCCAGATAGCTGGGAGGTAATGTGTTCCAAGTGCAACATACTGTGCTATTACCATCGCTCTAACCAGGAGACCAAATGGCATGTCTCTGACCTTTGCTTTTTTTCAGTCCTGTTTTGGTATGTGTGTGGTTAAGCGCCTTAGCTAAATGTAATGTACAAAATGTAGCAGACTAATGTACTGCAGATGTAATCTTTATGGTCCACACACAAACAGAAAAGGTCTTGCGCCACCCTGTGGATTCTAGAAGAGCTTTTCCCACATGCTTTTCAAACAGAAAATGGACATTTTGTTTATGAATCACTTTAAAGGGAAGATAAGAGCTCAACTAGAAGCAAGAGGAATTTTTTTCTCCTACCTCTAAATCTGTAGTAGAATTTTGCTGAGAAAATAGCCGAGAAACGGCTATTTTACTGTTTCTCACAGTGAGTGTACTAACCCTTTACAGTGTCACGTCTGGGTGTTTTGATGAAAATTTTGAGTGTTGTTTGGTGAACTGTACAAGTCAGCTAATAATAATTTCAGTGGGAAGATAATAAAAATATAAATGCATTCCTGCCTAAGTATTCCTGTTTGTATGTATTTTCTTGCAGACACTAGATCAACAGCAGCTCTTCACTGAGGACGAGCTGAAGGAATTTGAAAGTCATATTTCTCAGCAGGAAGATGAACTTAGAAAGAAAGCAGAAGATCTTCAGAAACAGAAGGAGGAGCTACAGAGGCAGCACGACCAGCTTCAGGCTCAGAAACAAGAGCTTCAGCAGGTACACTTACGAGAACAGAATTTTCTTTTTTTTCCCTTTTCTGTATCCTTATATATGTAACGTCTCATGACAATCCCCAACTCTGGAGCATTCTTTACCTTGATTTCTCATATGAGTCCCAGCTGAATTGTAAATTAATGGTACCACAGCAGAACATAATCTAGTATTCAGGATTATAGCAAACAAAGCAAGCATCTCAACTCAGTAGTATGCCCATTAAGAAAGACTTTACCTAATGACTGCAAAATTTCTTTTAAGTGTATTCATTTATGTCACATCAGACAAAGTTGACAGATTTAAGTTTTTCAACTGTGGTATTTTATTTTTCACCAGGTTGTAAAACAGATGGAACAAAAGAAACTACAGCAAGGAAATCCTCCTGCAGGACCAGCTGGAGAACTGAAATTCCAACCCCGTATGTTATCTTTCTGTGTAGATACACAAACTTTAAAATAAGATCTCCAATGTAAAGGTCATCCTCTGTGGCCAATTTACCAGCAGTTGGGCACAACGTGACATGACAAGTTAGTTTTAGACAGTATGAATGACCAATTGCTTCAACACCCTTAAAAGAAAATAGTGTCATAATAAATCATTGCATTTGCTCATTGGTGGCAACAAAATGGTCAGGTATATATTAGCACTTCTTATCCATAACACATTGTCCATGTTTCTTTTGTGCTTTAAAGGGGCTCTGCTTTCCCATACATCCTAACTTAGTTTTTTCTCCCCCTCTAGAAAGGTTGAAACTAATATGGCTTTATTGGCTTCCATGTTCATGTGCTAACATTATCGGTAGAGCTCAAGAACTTCTTGACATTCATCTCAAACATAAGGCTTTGGACTACATCCAGGCAGCCTTTTGAATACTGGAAGCTCTTAACTGCTCCTGCAGGGCCAACAGTGGGATTTCAAACCTTAAATGCTATATTCAGTGATTACAGCTCACTTTGTTGAGTGCCCTGAAATTCTAACCCTAAGCCACTCAGTTCTGTGAAGAGAAATAATGACATTTCAGTACCAATTTAATTTTGTCTTTCATTCGCTTCAAAACTGCCTGTGGGTAATTTCATTTTATGATCCTTAGTTGTAAGAGCCTCACTTCCCCTCACCTTCCGTAAAAACATCATGTGTAATGGCAGATGCCCTGGGAGTTGGACTAATGATACATCTTTTGATACTGGCAATATTGTAGCAGATACTGTTCTTAACATATATATTATTTTATGTAAAAACTTTCTGCAAAGTCATTTAATCAGGCGTCATAAGAATTCATTATATTAGCCAGAACTAGTCACTAGTCATTCACTGAGTTAAGAAGATCCAAGTAGACAATATTTCTGATCTGTAGGCTACTGGAGCTACTAAGGGTAATTTAAGGAAAAAAATAAAATCATAAGAATGCAGCTGCAAGTTCTGAAATCTTCAGCAAACTATGAAAATTAGTATTATTCAAAGGTAAGCAAAGGGAGAATGTTGTAAGTATTTTTGACACAGTGAGGAGTAAAATACAGGAGCAAGTTATTAATTTTCTTTTTTTTCAAGCTTCCTATATTGGGATTAAAGGTTTCATAAACACATAATATATTTCAGAAAGAACAATCTCCAAAGAACCAATGTATTATGTAAGTAAAAAAAATTTCACTGAAAACAGAAACAACTAGTAATCTAAGAGGAAACTCTGAATGTTATAATAATGCAGTCTATTGGGTAATCTCAATCCGATTTCATTGTTAGTCACATACAAAATTCCTGATTCCACTTACAAACCAAAAAAATACAAGGTTTTGTTTGATTGTCCCTACACTAGAAACTTTCCTTTAGAAACTTTTCATATTTGGGGCCAATTTAATTGAGAAGTTAAAAATGGTTTTATTCTTGATTTACAGCTGGGGACCACAAAATTGGAGAAGCACCAAAACATCCTGCAGGAGGTGATCATTTACCACCACCAGGACATGTCCAAGAACCAGCTGCTAGAACTGATCAAGTTCACCCTTAACCACTTGTGCCTCACCTTTATAGCTTCTTTATTATTTGGGGGGTGGGGGGGTGGGAGCAGGAAATCAGAGTGAAACATGAACTCTCCACTTTCTTCCTGAGGTTGTAAAATCATTGGGACTGTTAGAGATGAAGTATCAATCAGATTTGAATAATAAATTAAACTAATTTTCTCTCCAATGCATCAGTGAGAAACACAACAAGGGGATCATTTAGAGGCTATAATGGAGGAGGGAATTAAGGAAACTTAATACTAAAGGTTTTTATGGCCAGGGGACTGAGCTGCTGAACTCTTCTCTTACAAAAAGGGAGGAGATGTCTGCCATTCTGTGTTTAGGCACAAATCGGAATCTTCTCAGAGAGGAAGCAGGGAACTGGCCTGAATGTCATTAGGTCTAGTTTTATGCAGAAACTCTTTCCAGAAATGCTGAGAAGCAAAATATGGAGAAACGAAGACCATAGATAAAGGCCTACCATTTCCAGCACTACCAAACCCTTTCTTCTTTGAGACCAAATAAGAATCAGACTTCTAATCCTTAATCACAGAAAATTTGCACTTTCTAAAATCTAAACACAGCAAAGAATTATATGGAACAGTGAATATTTTTCATGTTTACAGAAGCCTAAGAATTTCACTGTAAGCCTTCAAAAGGAATAGTGTACTTCTGATGTATTGATCTGAACCGTCCTCCTCGTTGAGATTAATTCTGTGTAGCAGTTGAATACTCAACTGGCTTTTGGGACAGTACTTTTGTCCCTGTTTCTTTCATCAGGTGCCAGCTGATCTCAAAATTTTGCATGCTATTAAGTAAGCTTTTTATGTTGATGGAAATATTGTGCAAAGCAGAAAAAGACTCATTGTCTTTTTCTGTACAGATTATCCTACCTCCTATGATAATACCAGATTTTTCAAAGTGCACCATGTGCTTCAGAAAGCTCTTCTCAGACATGAATCTTTGACTTCTTAAGAGCCTCACTATTAACTCTTATTAGTCTTTCAGCAGTTGGTGTAAGTTTATGAAGTGTCCTAAAACAGGGGTGCTACTTGATTGTATTATTTTGGTATTGAACCAGGATAGGTCCCTAATATTGTAAGCCAAGATTTTACAAGAACAAGTTGATTTTCCTGTGGGTTTTACTATAATGTTGAAAAGTTGTGTGATTGTCCTTGCTTGTCATTCATTTCAGACTGAAAGTATCCTAAAGTGTAAACCCTGTTTGGGGTTTTTTTTGTTTGCTTGGATTTTTGTGGGGTTTTTTAAACATGGATTGTTCTGATTGTATAATGCTGGCTTTGAACTGATACAGACACACCTTGGCAAGCACCCTTTGCATTTCCTTCCTGTTCTGTGGCTAACTGCTGACAGTGTCATTAAAGGAGATCATTTGGGTTTTGAGCAAAGAAACAGAGGCAAGCCTCTGTTACAGAAAGATGTTCCTTTCAGAGTAAGACTTGAATATTTTCAGCAAACTCAAAAAAGACAGGAGGCAATTACTAATATTTTTGTATTGACATTTGGGAAGTTTCTCACTCTGAAGAACTTTGATAAAAGCTAGGCATATTCCTTCCGTGTTTAAGGCTGCTTTCATCAGGACTGAGCACATTCTTGTTCTCCACACTATAATAGAACTCACTGCTGGAACAGATTAGGTTTCCTTATCTGTTTCAGCTTGTTAGTTGTCATGTCACATTTCCTTCATTTATACCACTCAAACAATTGGACTTCTTACTTTTTTTTTTCCCCCCTCTATGCAAGTGGTTCACATTTTAATTTAGTCTCAAAAACCAGAGTCTCCACTGTTTGTAATTTCCATGCAATTCCAACATCAGTTTGATTATGTCTTTGTCAGGAGACTAAAATACTTTTCAACAACTTCATCTGTTTGTTTGCTAAGAGGCCCAGACATAGTTACAGCTACATCCAGACTAACAGAGTTTCTCAGTGCGCAGCCCTGGCTTTGGGGTTGTAGCCCGATAATGGGTAACAGAGCGAGGAGGGAAACAAAGGGGGAATTACTCAAACATCATGGAAAAGGTGAGGGGAAGGGGTTTTTTTGTGTTCTCCTCATCCCACATGAAAGTTTATAGAGGACAAATGATACAGCCACAGATGTTTGCGGAGAATCAAGGACTGAAACTCTTGGTGTGAAGGCATTTCTACCATACAAATCATTCCTTCAGGCTACATCTGCCTCCTAACAAATGTCATTATATGTAATGACATGCTTTGTAATGTAATGCTCAAGCTTTGGTTTCAATGTGACGTCTTTTTTGATTGCAAGATCCTGACTCTCCCTGCTGTTGGAGATGGGCGTTATATCCCACTTACTCCATTTACTTTGAAACATCCAGCATTTTGTAAAGAACTGTTGTAACTTGGGTGCTGAACTCAGCTTCTGCACGCCACGGTGTAGCGAGTGTCAGTGGTGAATCTGAGGAAACCACTTGTGAGAAGCCAGAGTTTTCACTTGTTTCATGGTGAGTTAGCATTAGCAAAAGTTCCTTGTTTTACATTTCAACTAGCCACTGAGTATGTTCAGTGTGAAACGGTGCGCATCTTTCCTTCAATTGCTATTAGATACCTAAATGTTGTTCTTGTCAGTGTTAATTTAATTAGTAGGCTTGCAGTTTAGCAATATACTACAGACTTTCTGTTCATTTTTTAGAAGTGGAAACAGGCAGTTTTTTAAACGTTAGAATTGGTGATCGGGTTTATCTCTAACTATAATCAAGGTTTAGTCAAACTGACGGTTATTTGCCCTAAGCTATGGAAGTCAGAGCCTCAGCCTTCAATAACACTTAATTTATTGAACTCCTACTGAACACATCTTAAGTTTGTTGCCTAAATGTTTTTGAGCTGGGAGCCCAAATTACAACTTCATGCTCGTCCACCCAATTCAAAAATCTCATATGCATAGGTACCTGTATCACATGTCCACAAAGGTAGCAAGGACTGAGTGGATGTTCTTTCAAAAGATAGTCTGTCAAGTCTGGTCTGTTGACAGACAACGTTCACCCAATACTGTCCGTCCATCCTCCTCTGTAGAGGAAGGGTATCGTTCTTCAGGCCCAGGCTAAAAGAGGTTTCCATCTGAGTGTAATAAAGTCACCAAACTATTTTTGTGGATCAATTCTGAAGTGTGGTTTAAATAAGCATTATCATCTCACTGTGAGGAACATCTGCCTTAGGGGTTATGCAATGTGCTGAAGTCATGCTTACACATGAAATGTTTAGCAGATTTTTTTGCTTTTTTAATGCGTTTGTTGTTTTCGATGCTGATGTCTTCATTTAATTGGGTTCTCTCTTTCATAAAAGAGACTAAAAGCATTAGCCACTAAAAGCATGTTTCAGCTATGGTACTGATTTCTCAGGAGCTTTTTAAAGTTGAAAAAAATTATTAAAGTAAGCTTATAGCTAAGTGCGGAGGTAGAAAGCTATAATCACAGATAAATAAGGGACTGGAATATCATGGGCACCAGTGCTTTCACCTGTACTCTGCTTTTCATTTAGGAGGCGATTACAAGAAAACTGAATGTAACTTCATACAGACACCAGTTCAAGACAAAAATGCAGAGATTTGGTTTTGTACTTGGCTGGGATTTCGGTAGGAGGATGAAGGGGTAAGATTTGGTCAATGTTGTACAAATTCATATCCTCCAGTGCAATATATGTAGGAAAAAAAAAAGCCCCACTCCGTACTTTGTATAGATCAGTTTTTAACTGGATTAAACTGAAACTCAGCGCAGTGACAGACGTCTAGTGTTTTATTTTAAGCGGGTGGGAAAGAGGCAGGTTTAGAGCTTGTCTATATGCACAACTTTGTATTTCTGCTTAGAGGCCCTTCCTGTTTGCCCTCCACTTTTTGCTTTCTGGAATGATGTGAAAAGAAATTTATAAAAAGATATAAGTATCATCTTGTGTTCTTCCCTGGCACCAGCTGTCTCATTGCAATAGCTATTCACTGATTAGGTACTTGAATGCTCAATTTTCTATATTCATAAAAATACAAAACCAACTAACTAAAATGCTACTGCAACAGCATTACGAACTCTTGACACCACCACACACTTCCCTGACTTGTTCAAATTCAAAACAGAAATCCCAGAGAAGGTGAAGCACCCACAGGTGCACAGTAACAGATTTTGCTATAGGTTGCTTTCTCTTTGCTTACAGATTCTGCCTTCAAAGCCAGGTGTCAGCCATTTCAGGATGTCAGAATAGCTGTGGCAATGTGTCTCTTGGGGAGATCCACAGGACATTATGCCATATCCAGCCACATTAGACTTCTCCATTTTGTAAATGTATCTTGATTAAGAAAAATTTGATGTATGGGGGCATTTTGCAAAGAAGTGAAGCTCTGCGCTATGGATTGTCCTTTTGGAATTAATGCAAAAGTAGGTAGCAGATGCCAGGAGCTGTCACTAAGGTTGGCCCCAGAAGAAATTCCTTGTTTACATCCTCAAGTATCTTTTACTTACTAAAATTAAGAGGTAGTTGTACCAAGGTAGTGAAATGAGAGTCCCATCTGAAAACATAGCAACACTCACTGTAGTTTAGTTACATTTCTAAAAATGAACTTTATTTTTTTACATAATGGGAAATAGGAAACTCGCTTGAGTCCTATTATTTATGCATCCACAGATAGCAAATATCAAAACTATCTACAGTTACCCTAATGTTTTCTAATGCCTTAAAAGCTATGCTTGTCAGAATTACTTTGTATCCAATAGTAACACTTTTTATAATTACACTAGCCAATACTATGCTAAATAATAGCCTGCATACTTGCTTGTGTAGTAAAGTACAATGTCAATGAGGGAAAGTATTTTTTTCAGAGATACCCAGGTTTCTAAACCTAGTATATTTTTCAGTGACAAATGCAGGGATAGAGCAGCACTACAAAGCTGACCTCTCCCTTCTTTGCACCTTTTCCATCAATTCAAGAAGCTGTTAGTCTGAATGACAATTTGCATTTACTCAAATACGCATTTCCTTAACACATAGCTCACAGCTCATATCTTTTAAGAAACAGCCCATAGAGTAATTTCTGTGTTATAGGAGGTGATGGTGCATACAATACACGGTTTCCCCTCTAATATCTCATTTCACACCCTCTCCCACTAGCTTATTATTGCTGTTAATACTACATTGAGAAGAGGACTTCAATTTTTGTGCTCC